GCCGGCGGGCTCACCGCGGTGGGCGTTTCGCCGTCGAGTTCGATGTAGCCGCGACGCTCAAGCAGCATCCAGCCTAAGGCCACACACGCCAGTGACAGCACGACGATGGCGACCCAAAACAACCGACCCCAGCCCGAACCTTTGGTCTCGCCGGGCGGACTCGGTACGACGAGCGCCAAGTCATCATCGTCGACACTGGAAACGGGCGCCGGTGCGCTGATCGTTGGACCGGCATCGGCCTGTAGCGTTTGCGCCGCCTCGGCCACGCGGCGAACGGTTTCGCTTTCGACGGGCAACGTTGGCCGCGCCGCTTCGGGCGTGCTCTGCGTGTCGATCGGATCAATGGTTGGATCCGATGCACTCAAGTCGAGATCCACGCTCGCCGGCAGCGTTTTCGAAAACTCAGCTTTCATGCTGTCAGCCGCAACCTGGATTTCGCTCGGCGGAAAATCGAAACCATCATCGACCTGGTCGGCATCAACAACTGTTCGGGACACACCCGCAGCCTGCGCCTCGTCTTCGGGTGTATCGAGGACCGTCGACGAGGCGATCACTTCTTCCGGGCCGTCCGCTCCATTCAGAGGCGGTGTATCGACGGGCATCGTGGGCGAGGGCAGTCCCTCAAGGTTGGCGAGCGACTCGTAGTCGTAGTCAACCTGAGTTTCAGAGTCTTCGTCATCGGCATTGACCGGCGCATTACTCGGACGCGCCGGTTCGAACAGAACGGGGTTTGGTTGTGACTGCTCCGGGTCGGTGAGCGGCGCTTCTTCCGACACGTGTGAGGGCGGTCGTAGGGCGGGGTCCGGTACGTTCGCCGGCGTGAGCACCTCGGGCCCCCAGGCTCCGAACCCGTCGTCGTGGTCTTGAATCAGCGGTCCGAAGTCTTCGTGCCCCAAAAGCGTATCGGCTTCGTCCTTCTTGCTCTGGGCATCCGCCAGCTCGAGCATCTGGGGCGAGACCGATGCTCGCCGTTGCAAGATCTCCGTCGGTTCGGCGAGCCGGCTCAACAGCGCATCGAGCTCTGTCACGAGTTCGCGCGCCCCCGGCGGCCGGTCCACCGGCTTTTTTGCGAGAAGGCGCATAACCAAAGGACCTAAGCCATTGAGGTTCGGCAGGGGGGCGGGCTGCTCGGTAATGTGCCGAACCAAGACTTCCGCGCGGCGTTCACCTTCAAAGGGTGGCGCGCCGGTCACCATCTCGTAAGCCACGACGCCCAGCGCGTACAAATCTGCGGACGGGGTGACGGCGGCGTCGTTCGTCTGTTCCGGCGCCATGTATGTGGGCGTGCCGATGATGTGGCCGACCGACGTGAGTCGTGTTTCTTGCGGTGCGGCGCGCAGACCCACGGCCCCAAAGTCGAGGAGCTTGATCGTCTCGCGACCGTCCTCGCGGTACACCATGATGTTCGACGGCTTCACGTCGCGGTGCACCAAATCCCGTTCGTGGGCCGCCTGCAGTCCGCGCGCTATTTGGCGCATCAGTGAGGCGGTACGCTGCGGTGGAATGGGGGCGTAGCTGGCGATCGTCTGTTCGAGCGTCTCACCCTCGATCAACTCCATCGCGAGGTAGGTCAGTCCGCCCGGCGTCGTGCCGAAGTCCTCAACCGAAATCACATTGGGATGCCGTACCCGGCTCATCGATTGGGCTTCGCGCCGAAAACGCGCCTGGAACTTTTCGTCGGCAGAGAAGTCCCCGAACAGAACCTTGATCGCGTACCACCGCTCTAAAACGTGGTGGCGGGCGCGGTACACACAGCCCATGCCGCCAATGCCGAGTCGCGATTCAATATGGTAGCGGTCGAGCGCCTCGCCGACCAAAGGATCGCGATCAGCGGGTTTGAGGGCCGTTCCGTCGAGGCCGCAAACGCGTACCTCCCGGACGTACAGCCCCCGACACTTCGGGCAGACAAGCACGTGGCGGCGAGAGTGCCTGCGATGGCGTCGAACCGCTAGACCGGGCCGACAAGTGCTCGCCCCCATGGCGCGATCGCTCGGGAACCGGTAAATGCCCGGTCGTGCCTCTATCGGTCGCTGCCGTGGCGTACACGCATTATAGATCGGATCCCCGCGTAAGACGGGAGGCCGAGGCTTTGGTCGCGCGCGGCGACACGGTCGAGGTGTGGGCGCTTCAGGAAAAGGGCGCGCCCGCGCGGCAAGAGCTGGGCGGCGTGGTGGTTCACGGCGTCGACATCCCTCGCTACCGCGGAGGTCGCGCCGCCGCTTATGCCCGGTCGTACGCGCGGTTCATGGCGCAAGTTCAATGGGGCCTCGCGAGACGTCACCAAAAAGAGCGCTTCGATATCGTTCACGTCCACACGATGCCGGACTTTATGTTGGCCGTCGGGTTTGTGCCGCGGTTGTTCGGGGCCAAACTCGTCCTCGATATGCACGACTTGATGCCCGAGCTGTTTGCTCTCAAGTTTGGGCTTAAGCCGAACGGTTTGGCGTCTCAGGGATTGAGGCTTACGCAGCAGGCCGCAACACTCATTGCGGATCAGGTTATCGCGGTGCATCGCCCGCAATACGAGTTGCTGCTCAAAAGTGGTGTTCCGGCCCGCAAGCTCACCATTGTGATGAACGCGGCAGATCCCGAGGTTTTTGCTGCTCGCAAAAAAGAACCCCGGCTCAAGGAGGGCGCACCGGTTCGGATCGTCTATCACGGCACATTACTCGAACGTTACGGCGTCGAAGAAATGGTCCGAGCCTTTGCGATAGCCCGCGATAAGGAACCGCTGCTGCAGCTCACGATTTTGGGCGGCGGCGACCACGCGGACGCACTTCGGAGCCTGATCACGCAGCTCAACTTGCAGGACGCCGTGATCATGGACGGCAAACATCTCAGTCTCGACGACGTGGCGGTCGCAATTCGCGGGGCCCATCTCGGTCTGGTCCCGGGTAAAGACGACCACGAGGACTCGGTGCTTCCGACCAAAATGCTGGAGTATCTGGCGGTGGGGATCCCGACAGTGGCGGTGAAGACGCGTACGGTTGGCCACTATTTCAGCGAATCGGAGTCGGAACTGGTCCCGCTCGGTGATGTCGAGGCCTTCGCGCAAGGCATCCTGCGGCTGGCGTCGGATAAAGCCCGCCGTAAGGAGCTGGTGACCGCCGGCCAGGCCTGGAACGCGCGTTATGGCTGGGATGCGAACCGGTTGATGCTCTACCAGGCCTTTGACGGCCTGTGTGTGGAGAAGATCATCGCCGAGCGGCGAAACCGCCAAAAGAAGATCGACGGCACCAAGACGGGCACGCGTAGCAATTAGGCCTCGGGGTCACCCCCCTAAAAAGCCAACTGGGGCATGATGTGCGTCTTGTGATAAACGCCAGGCGACCCCGATGAGCTATCCCCTAATCAAACAGATTGTCTTTACGCTCTTCTTCCTGGGCGCGATGGGCCTGTTCGCCAAGTTCGTATGGCGCATGGTTCGTATGGCCCGATTGGGACAGGACGAGGCCGGCCTCTTCGAGGACATCCCGAGCCGCATCGGCAAGGTGATCTACCTGGCGTTCTTTCAACGTAAGGTCGTCGACGAAACCTTCGGTTGGAACCACGTGATCTTCTTTTGGGGATTCATGATGATCACGATCGGGCACATCGAGTTCCTGGTCCGCGGCATCTTGCCGAGCTTCTCACTGTCGTTTTTGGGTGAGCCCATCTACCATGCAATTTTGATTGCAGGTGACGTGATGGCGTTCCTGGTTTTGTTTGCAGTTTCTCTTGCGCTCTTCCGCCGCATCGTCATCAAACCGGACCACATTCATTACAAATCCTGGGACGGCTTTTTGATTTTGGGACTCATCGCCTCTGTGATGATCACCTACTTTCTCGCCCAAGGTTTCGGTCTGGCCGGTGGACATCCTGACGTAGCCGGTCACGAAGCTGCGCTGCCCGTCTCCAATGCGGTGGCGGGCCTCCTGTCCGGGGTGGATGTGCAGAGCGCCAAAACACTTTGGTACGAAGTCTTTTGGTGGTCGCACGCCGTCGTGTTGATGACGTTCCTCAACGTCATTCCAAACTCCAAACACATTCACTTGCTCGGTGCGATTCCGAACATCTTCGTCAACAAGAACACTAAGCCGCGCGCGTCGCTCACCAAGATGGATTTCGAAACGGCCGAAGTCTACGGCGTTTCGCAGTTCAATCAGTTCAGCTGGAAAGCATTGCTCGATACCTACGCGTGCACCGAATGCGGTCGCTGCGA